CTAATCACTATCCAGAAGAAGTCAAAGCAGGAATCAACAGTGAAACAGTTAGAGAACTAGATAGAACAGAACATACAAGATTTTTGGGGATCTAAACAGGTAATCAAAAGATAGTGATTGAACTAAAAGAGTGAATACTTAGAGAGAATAACACAATTACACAAACCCTAAAAAATAAAAGATTGACCGATAAACAAATACTCTATATTTTAAACAGGGTTTTGATACTAAGGATAAAGTTTCACATGCAATATAGTATGCTATCCTGGAAAATATGTAACACTTTAATCATGGCATATAGAAAGCTCCTTAAAAATAAAAGTAACTTGTGTAGATCCATACCCAATAGTGTAGTATATTATCTAAAGATCTATAACTTAAAAAGTATTTGAATATTACAAAAGAAAAGTCAAATAATAGGACTATGCAACAGACTAAATGATCCAGGACCAGCAGGACTTACAACAATCTTTAGAATTAAACAAGCACAAGTCAAATACTGGGAACTATACAATCTGCTTACCTGTGAGTCATTAGAGCATATATCAGGTAGAGATAACTTTGCATTTCAAGTAATGAAGTTGTCCAAAGATATAGGATAAAATTTCAAAGCTGGGAATGGTAAGACATTTTCGAATGGAACAAAGGTAACTGCTCAATCCAAGAGTACCTAGTACCAGATGAATATACAAAAGCCATACTATCACTTAGAAACAATAAGCTGATGTACATGGATCAGCTGATCACCTATGAAACTAAAGAACTAAAAAATAGCGAATGATCCAACTAATCCAGAAAACTAGTAAGGGGTCCATTCCAGAGTGGTATCTAGTGATAGAAAGAAGTATACAAGAAAAAGGTCTAGGATAGTTTACAAAATTCTGAGAAGAAGATTGGTCAAAATAGGATCCAATAATTATAAAGATAAATTCAGATCATAATAAAAGACAAATACTTTGGATAGTAATAAGTAATAGGTATTAAAAAATAATATGGAAAAGCTAAGATCAGAAGATACTAAGCAAGTAGTACAAATAGAACACTTCAAGTGTACTGAGTTCCTATATGCTCAGGAGACCAGCCTGACGAAATGTTTAAGATGTGCAGAAGATAAAAACATGAAGAATCAATGTATAATAGAGACAAAAAGAAATAAAACATACAAAGTCTCCTATCTAAATACAAGAAAATCTACGAGAAGAGCCCAGCAGTTAAATATTTCAAGTTCCAAAATAGTTTTAGAAAGAACAATGGAAAAAACAATCCAAGATGATTACAAATCCAATCTAAACAGTAGAGTAAGTCAAATAGATATAGAGAATTGGGGAAAACAGATTATTAGAGATAATATAAAAGAAGGAGCATATCAAGATCACCTAATTGAAATACTTCAATGGAATCAACAATTCAAAGAAACATTGATGTTTTACTCTAATGAATCTCTTATCGACCATGGATATGAAAAAATGAAGTTGAAAGCAGTATGGGTACAAGTAGAAAGAGAGGGTAAAGAAAATAAGTTCCAAACAGGAGTAGATAACTGGCTATTATCCACTAGAGCTGAGTTAGTAGTAATAGTTACAATATTATTAGTTGTTCCAATAAATAACAAAGTCAAGATTTTTACAAACAGTCAAGCCTATATTGTCAAGTGAAAAATAATAGAGAAAAAGAATCCCAGAAGAACTCACAAAAGATGGTTAAAGGAAAAAAACTAGTCCTTGTAGGCAAGAATGTTGGATATTGTTAAAAAAAAAGAATTGAAGCTGGAACTGATCAAGGTCAAAGCACACTCTAATGATCCTTACAATGAAGAAGCAGATATTTTAGCAAAGGAAGCCTTAATGCTTCCTGTGATCGAATGGAAAAATCTTACTTCATTTAAAATTATTACTAAAATCAAATGGTATGAAATAACTTTAGATAATCCTATAAGACAATTTATTAAAAATATAAATAACAAAGTTATAGCTTATCAATGAACTAAACAAAACAGGATTTTGAACAAATGGAATTAACAGATTCAAGATCAATATAACTATATATGGGATTTAGTATGAAAAAGGATGAAGAATGGTCACACTTGGAACATCTCCTTTAAAGATTTTCAAGAAAGAAGCTTTCTTATCAAACTAATTAATGAAGAGTTATCAATACTTCCCAAATTGATTATAAGAAGATCAGACCTATATAAACAAGTAAAGTGTATAGTATGTAAACAGTAAGTAGAAACAATAGAATACCTATTAGAATATCCTGTATATAAAATTCAATGGCAGGAAATTTGAAACAAAGAAGCTGAAGGTATTTTAAAAGACTTTCGAAAACTTTTGCATGAGAGAAAAAAAGAGATGGAAGAGAAAGAAATAAGGTTTCTAGTTGAAAACAGAGTAGAATTAGAGAATTGGATAAATGCATAGCTAGACTTATAGAAGAGACTACAAAAACAAACCAGAATATGCTAAACTTTTGTATAAGACTAATATGAAGTAATTAAATATTAAAAATATTAAATCTAAAATGCTGCCAGAAAAGAATAGGTAAAGAAGCCCGAAAGTGGATAATGAAGATACAGAAGAAGGTTTGCAATCAATTCTGAAAGAAGATCTGAAACAAAAGGTGCTCAAGAATGATCGAGTAGGAACAAGTACAAGGGATCCATAGAAAATACAAAATAAGAAGGTCAGCTAGTCTATTAAATCAGAACAACAAGACTACAACTAGGAAAAGGTCTGTACTGGAAGAAGAAAAACTTGAAGATGAAGATCTGAAACAAATCTTTCTAGAATGAGTAAAGTATGGAATAAGATGGTTAGGATTTTAACTTTTGTCAAAACTCATAAGGAGGATCTGCAGTAGTAATCTGCAGACAATGAAATTAGTAGTTGGAAGGGTTTTCATCTGAGCTACTAATAGAGTGATAAATCACTTCCAAAGTTGCATTTAAAGTGATAATAATCAAGACGAGTGAGCTAATTAGAGATTTAGCTTTAGTGATTCATTTTACATGTATAGTATATTAATGTTTAATAAAGCATATATAATTAACCTGACAGAGGGTAATATATATATATACCTTTCTTTTATTTTTTTTTGCTATTATTACAGTTTTTCAAAATCAGTTCCTTGGAGAATAATAGATAGTACCAACTTGTCAACAATGATATTTAAATTAGAAAGGTATTATTCAAAATTTATTATTGAGTAAAATATTGTTTTCAAGGTCACACTTAGAGATTGAAACTCTTTTGAGAATTGAAAGCTGTTAATGAATAAGTTAGCACAAGATTTAGTTTAAACATGATGCAATTGTTCTAAGTATCTCTATCAATTTTCTTAATGATTAATAAACATACAGTGCTGGTTTGATCACAGGTTTAAAAAAAAAATAAAAAAAAAATTCCAAAAATCACACAACAGTAATTTTTGTTAATTTTGACATAAAAAATTTTTTTTATTAATTAAATCATTAATTTGTTATATACATTTATTACATAATATTATATACTATATATCCTGTTAATTTCATAATAATCAGATGTAAACTGATTAAAATATTCACAATTGAAGATCGACGATCGGATGTTGCATTCTTTTTGGGAGCTTTACATTTTATAACCGCTAAATCCATATAATTATTTTCGCCATATAAGTATCGAATTATATCCCATCCGGTAATGGATCCTCCGCTTTCAATCCACGTCGGGCGCGCGACAAGTCTAAAGACTAAAATAATCGATCATATTAACGTCATTTTTTATCTCAATTATACATCAATATCACATAATTAAATGCTTACCTATATGCCCTATCCTACAATCGGTGGAACTCGAATCTTATTGGCTTTCGGCTTGTCAAGTCTAACCTGGCGATTTAATCCATAAGCATCGTTTAGGTTGAGAGATTATAGGAACAACTGACCCATTCACATCTCGCTCAATTCCATCCTTTCGATCTTTTGTAAAATCTCGGTAAAATCACGCAGATGGTGGAAGAACATGCTGTGGACGAAGTAAACAATACTATGCCTGATCCCTCGAGTAACCGGAAAATATCCATGGAGAAGATTTGTCCGGGGCGAAGCGGAACGACAATCTGGAGTTGGGGGAAGCATAATTCGCCTCCCTCGAAATCGCTCAATGCGACTAAACAAGAAAGAGATTTTGGCTCGTCGTGCTCATCTCAATGAGAGTCACTTATTGTATTGAAGTTAATCGCGATCATAGGGAAGACTCCGAATGACCTTGGCGCAAATGCTCCCCATTCTAGCTTTAGCAATTCTTCATATAAGCCTTGATAATATTCCTCGACGAACTTATTAACAGTGGATTAAGACTACGAAGTAGATTATTAAAACATTCCTGATGCTCAGATTATGGGTGCTCGCCGTATTGGAGCTTGTATAAGGAAAGAGGTTGTAAAACGCATATGCACAGAAATGCTCGATGAAATCCTCCCAGAAATTAATACTCCGATGCGAGGGATTATTCAAAGTTGATGATTTATAGCCCCGGTAGCTTCCATTATGGCACTTATATTGTTAAGATTCTCAAGGTGAATTAAAAGTTCGCCCGCCCTTGTCAGTAATACATTCCGGTTTTACAATATACCGAAACTGTACTAACTCTTTCAATGAATGAAAATCGCCTCGTGCAGAAATTATAAGTTGAGTTTTCTTTCGTCGAGAGATACGTTCATTTACTGTTTTTAGTGAATCTAGAAAATCTATACTACAGTATTTCTAAGTTCCATGGCATGTTTAGGTTTCTTCCATCTACACCGAAGATGTTAGCGTACGTCTCTTCTCGTATACGGCTTTTTCATCCCCAACCAACGTTCCGATTAATAATTCTTCCTCCGAAATCTCTCCTTGAGTTTTATCTTTTTTCGGTGATAGGGAGAAATTTTACACTCTCGTCAGTGTATAAAATTTTATCTTCCGTGCACAACCCTCGGGTCGCATATTGAGTTCGGTTCTAAACGAACGGATAAAGTCCGATATGATTAATAACGAAATCGGTAAAGATATTTCTAGTTCTTACAACGGATTTGTCCTTCAGTTTGATATTTTTTGCGGATTGAACGAACCCCTAGAACAAATTATTGAGGTATAATAACCCTGTGTCTATTGCACCACATGTTTCCTTTGGAAACTCAATAATAGTCTAAAAGGCGGTTTGGATCGAAAATAATAGTGGAACTAGTGTCAGCTGAAAGCTTACACCAAGACACATATTGCCCATCGATAAAGTTGGTGAGGTATTTCGAACCTACGCTTTTTGTTATAGCGAACACTACGTGACGGTTTCTTTTTTGGTATATCACCCGACGTAATGACTTCTTTTCGCTTGTCGTTGGACGAACATATTAGCTTACGAATGCTGGAAAAAGGCTATTCGTATTATTTCGGGCGTGATGTACTACAAGCATATAATTAGGCCTGCTAATTTCCCGGCGTGATCCATCCAATCGGAATAATTAAAACCCGGAAAATTATTAACCAATCACACACGTCGGGATCGGCATAGAAGTTTGTTAATCGTTTATTTTTTTCGCTTTATTTTACATAGGAAAATGTCTTGCTTTTGCGATAAGGACATGTGAAAACGAGGGCGAATAACCCGTTGATTCTTAACAGCACCGTTATGTTGTTGCGATTACCAACTTCGCGCGCTCGTCACCTTAAAAGGGTTTTATTCATGCGCCTATGACTCAACGCTTCGCATAACCACGCGCCTTGGCATATAACAACACTTTCTATGGAGGCTGAGGAGTGTAGCTCTCTTCCAGAAAATCGTAACAGGTTTACTTATAATTTTAGTAACACATAATTTCGTCATTTCCAGGGTTCGGAGATTTGCTTGATAAAGTTAGGGTTGAGTGAAATAATATAAAAAGTAGATTTTAAAAGATTTTAACCCTACCTTCCTACGAATTTTAGGAGTTTGTATTAGCTTACGTTAAAGGTATGTGTTATCTTTCAAAGAAAGTGGTTTAATATCAAAGGCTTTGGTGTTTATAATCACTATGGGCTTCGTATTAAGGAAACAGAAATGACTATCGAAAATCCTATCTCCCTCAATTATGGCATTCATAATGGTCCGGATTGAAAAATTTTCACAGTTTGGCCATGTAAAGAAGACAAGGTTTATGTTCTTAAATTTTCTATCGGGGCTCTACTAGCGAATCAAGGTTACCAATCTCTCTCCCTCAATTTCGAACTCTATGTGAACGATCCCGAGAATAACGATCCTATGAAGACGTCGGATGAAGTTTCTAAAAACTTCCTAACCAGGACACTGTCTCACATTTGTATTTGACTTATTATAGGCAATGTATTTCGTTTCAATAATAATAAAACAACGATGCGTTAGGTATAATTTCGGTAGTATCATTGTGTATATTATCTCTGGGTCCATTTGTGTAACTTCTCACATAAACATAAAAACCACCGATCACCTTCACTTGCATAGCATTCATTACTTAGCTTTTCTTAGCGGGATACATAAACCAGATTTTGCCAGTTTCCACGTAGAAAAGTAACATGTCTTCACCTTCCTCACCTGTATCCGATTCCTCTACATTAACGGAAGAAATGTCAACTCGCGCGTTAGAAACCTAGATACGGAAGAACTTATGGATTATTTACTGAGACGGGATCTAAAACTTAAGGAGACACATTTCAAGATATTATGAAAGGAGGAAATAGCTGGCTCTGACTTTCTTGAGCTAACCGAAGATAAGTTTCGGAGTATTGGTTTTGCATTAGGTCCGGCAACAAGGCTTGCAAAGTTCATTGATGAGATATCAGAACAAAAATTACGAAGTTATTCATCGTATAAATCTCTGGACGACCTGAAGGAAATGCTACGTAAAAATAAGGTTAATGAGGAAGATATAACGAATAACAATCAATTACACCTGGTGAGTGATACATAATTTTCTTGGCATTTTTTGGATGGGTAGTCAGGCAGATTTCAGTTATGTAATATATTTTTTCTATAGTCTTCGAAGAAATAGACGACATAATCCTGAAATTTTCAAATGTGGAAGCAATGACCGACGCCAATGAAGCGACGCGTTGCGAATTCATTTCGGCTATCCTACATGCATCAATCGATATCGCTAAAAAACACAACCGAAGATATTTTTATCGCTTTGCAGAAGGATATATCAGGTGAAGAATTGACGAGTCGAGTCGACTACGCAATCAAGAGCGTCGAAGATCTTCTCTACATTACTGAAGCAAAACCACGAAATATCAGGATTGGCTACGCTCAAAATTTACCAGAACTTGAATGTGCGTACCAGACCAATACGAAGGAACGGACGACAGATCAAGCATTTGGAGGTGATTATTTTGATTACCACTATGGGATCGTATCAACAGGTATGTAAACTTTTCTTAGTAAAAGTGATCAGAGTTCCGAAACAGAACGCGGAATAATTCAGATTTTTTCTGATGCTAATCATTGGGTATATTTTTAGCCATGGAGTGGCATTTCATCATATATACTCCCGATGGAATATATGCCACAAGTAATAGCGAGCATCAGATAAACCTTTCAAAGACCGCAATAAAAGAAAACCTCAATGTTCTACGGAGCAGTTTGAAAAAGGTTATAGGGATCATCGTCGGTCTATTAAAAGGTTGGGTAACGGTTGATAATTTCCCAATTTTCTGCTTCACATGTATTTTTCATATTATACCAATAAAATAATCAGGATTAAATGTTCGTAACCACACCGTAAAAAGTTTTTAATACTTGCTGTCATTATTATACTGTAGGTAGAACTTTTATCAAAATAATCGCCGATTTTTTTTTTTCAGGTTCCATACACACGTTCTCTACGTTCATTATCGACCGCACGAGGTAGTAATCCCAGATTTTAGTACATAATACGTTGACAGATTCATTCTTAGAAATAGAAATTCTATTCGATACCTCAGTAGGAATGACAAGAATGTGAGGTGGATATTATCTTTCCGTCAAATATAGAGATCTCATTAGTTAGAATTTCATTAACCGGAGTCAGCTTTTCAGTTAATGTTTTAATGGCAAGACAAGTAAATAAACGTACCTTTTTCTTTTGGATATGAGCAGTAATGGAGTATAGTTATGGCAAAGCCATGAGTCTCCGACTCTAAATATTTATATAGATAATATTCCGCAGTATTCTCTGCAATACATACAAATAATAAATCAATAGCACTTTAGCACGATTTTCTACACTATTTTTTTCGTGTGATGTGGTGAATGTGGGATGCGAAGTGAGTGTATCTAATATTTCTCGATCAAGTTTCATTGCAACGAAGTTATCGATTCAGAATTTGAAATGCGCAATACGGTACTAATTATATAGTTCGTCATCATGTACTCAATCTCAATACATCATTGGTGATGTAGAAAAGAAAGTTCTAAAAAAAGTGTCCCCTCCAATCGTGTATATTCAATCTTTAGTAAACTATTATGATACTGAAAAATGAGTAACAGGTATGAAAAGAAGATTCAGCTTTCATCTCTCATTAAGTTCTTCAGATGGTGAAAAGGCTTTCTTGGACAAAAGCTGAGGTCTCTAAGCTTCTATCCCAGTCAGGCAAAGTTCTTGAAAAGATTTCTTTATTCCAGTCAGACAAACTCTTCTGTAATATGCACTAGCCTCAATAGCGATAAGCAAATTCATACATTGGAAGAAGGATAAGTTCCTCAAATATTCTTCTTGAAGTCACTTTCAGGAATGGCTAAGTTCATTAAATGTCATGAAGCTCAGAGAATATCCCAATCAGGCAAACCCCTTTCAAGAGGAAACTGTGAAATGGAACAAGAACCTTTTGAAGAGCTTTGATTTGTATTCCCTCTTTTTTTTCCAGTATCAACTTTAGCAATTCATCATTTTTTGGGATAATCTATAGTGACAAACTATTGGCGATAACCCTGATTAACTTAGAGGCACTATTGCCAAGCTACTAGGAGAGTGAAATATTGTCCTCTAAATTTGATTTAGAGTACCTAGTTTAGGCTTAGTTTTGTTTAGTTCAAACTAGCTTAGTAAACTCCTCATATTTTTTAAGTAGTATAGTCCTTTAACTAATAATGTATAATGATGAGTTAGTCACTTTTAAAAGTCTGTAAAATATTTAGGTATTTTTCAATATCTCAATAAAGACATACCATTGGGGCATGATTGCAGATTAAAAAAAAAAAAAAAAAGAATTCTTATGTAATGATATAATACTAACAAAGAAAAAATATAACCTCCTAATGAGTAGTATAACAATACATACAAATACAAACTGCATATGTTCAAAACTATACTAACAACATGCTATACAACAAATATGAGTATAGTCTTTTTCATATCTGAGATAAACAACTGCTTATATATGCAAAAAATTGGTCAACAAAAATAAACAATGACAACATAGCAGGATAAATTACAAGAGCGAGACTTTAAGAACTACTGAATCAGTTTTGATCAATCAATAATGTATGTAGCTATCTAACCCAATCATTCAGGAGACAAGGGGTAAACCTAACGCATAACATTATCTGATTACTAAGAAGACATAGTATCACATTCAAAATACACAAGGAGAATTCTATACCAATTATAATAATAGAAACAGATACTACTATTGAAAGCATCATAAGCCAAGCTTTTTATAATCAAAATCAATATAAATTATAAAAATATAGGCTTCTATTCACAGAACAATTACTGAATATAAACAAAACTAAAACTTTGCACTGGTGCCAAATTATTAGACCCAAAAGAAACCAACTTCCAATCCAACTCCAACCTGGTTCTATACTATTAAAAACCTAATTAAAAATCAACTAGAAAAGAACAAACCTGTCCTAGTAAAAAAAACCAATACTTTCCTTCAGTGTACCCTAACAACTAATCAAAATATAGTAAAACCTCATTGGATATGTATTAAACAAGACCAGAAAATTATAATAGGAAAAAAACAAAAAAGGATAAATCAAAATGACATACTTTACAAATATTACATATAAAAAGAAGAGCAATCTCTAGTACAGGCTTGCACCAGATGTCCAAGAAATATATAACAAAACCTGAAACAAGTAACAGAGTATATCTTCATCTCAGAAAAACAATAGGCAGTTAACATCTCAATATATAAAAGCAAGGTATCATACAAAAAGGACCCTACAACAACTCTGCAATCAGCAATGTGGAGAAATTGTATATTTTAAACTCTATGAATATAGTCCTGGATAAGTTTACCACCAAAGAAAATATAATGCAGAAACAAGAATTTCAAATATTCATATCTGAAAAGACAAGGTATCTGCAACACATATTTAAGGCAATGGACCATATTCCAAAGCAATTAATAAACAAACATAGTTGCAGCACTAGAGAATCATGCAATATTTGATATATACATAGATGGATCCCTTACAAAAATTAACAATAGTTTTCATATAGATTTTAGATGGGTTATTATACCCTCTAATAAGCAAGAATTCAAATTTCAGGGTTAGATTCAAAACTATCTATTATAAATAAGAACAGAAATCATAGCCATTCTCATAGCAATTAATATTTTGCCAGAATACGGCAGGACCAGAATTTTTACAGACAGTCAAGTAACCATAAATAAAATAAATAAAGTAATGGGGATCTTAGAGAACAAAATAATAAACATACAAAAAAATACAAACCTCCTTATCAAAATCAAATATCTGTGCAAAAGAAAGAACATCAAATTTAAGGTCTACAAAATAAAAGCATACTCAGGGATAGAATATAATGAGCAAGTAGATAAATTAGTATAGATAATACAAACTCAAGGTATGAAACCAAGGAAAAAAATACTAGAAATCCATCCATATATAGTATATGTAAAATTCAACAATTATCTCACAATGGAACAACCAAAATTTGGACATTTCACTAAAAGAAACAACACATCAAATAATCCAAGTGATATACTTAGCAAAATAGAGACTTTTAAATAGAACCAGATACAACTTTAATGATTAAATAATCTCACAGATTCATTGAAAAACAATAACTGACCACTTGCAGTATATCAAAATAAACAACAACACAACAAACTGGAAAGATAAAAAATATAGAAGATTCAATCTAAGTTTATGGAACAATGAACTGCTAATGAAAGTAAAACCAAATAAAAGTTCATCAACAATCTATTATAATAACAAATACCTGCAATGTGAAGAAGTCAAGACATGTATCTACCCCTTTATTTACTAGAAACAAAAAGAAAAGACATAAAACAAAATCAAAGAAATAATAGTAAATAACATAAATATACACAAAAAACAAAAGTTAAAAGAATCCAATAAGGATTTTATAATAGTAGAGCTGAATCTAGACTCCATACTACATCTCGATATCTCCATTAGAGATATAATCTTCAAAAGAATCTTTTATAAAATCAAGAAGGTCATCAAAGAAAAGTATATTAGAACCCAATATATAATAGATATAAGAACCTAGATAATAAAATACCTTCATGAAATATGGATTGACAGATGTGAACAGTTTTAAGAATAGAAATATAAAGTAGGCATTACTAGGAAAAAAGAGAGAACAGTCAAGTATAGTACAACTATATTAAACACTTACTTTACAGAAAGAAAGTTTCATATTAAAAGTCAATTCACAAAATTGATAAATAGCTACATGAATACTTGAATAAATAATATTGTTGACCCATTTTACATTTTCAAAATTTCTTTTAGCACTAACCCAGCCTTGATAGGTTGGTCTTCCAGATAGGGTGGCAACAAGTTATAAGGTGAGAGACTCTTTTAGGGAACATATTTCTATTATGTTTTACTTATAAGTAGATAGATAGTACAAAATAGATTCAAATATATAATCTCCTAATGTTACTATATATCATAACAAATAAAACAAGAATGCATTAGCATTTAAAAAAAAATTTTATTAACAAAAAAGTATAAAAATTTTTTGTAAATATCTTTTTAATATATAATCAAAAGATTAATAAAAAGAGTTTTAAAAATAATATCTTTAATTATAACTAATATAATCTATACTATATTTAATAAAGCAAAAGTTAAAAAAAATATTATATTGAAATATCTCAAGCTAAAGGATAAAAATCTCAAAAATTGTTAAAACAAAAAGGTTTATAAGATATTATGATTAATCAAAAGTCCTTAATAAATAAACATGTATTTAATACCAGTTACTAATGCATACTGTATATAATTTTATAAGTAACAATTATAAACCTGTTAAAAAGCTGTTTCAAATTTTAATAATTTGACAATAAAAACGGCAAATTGTGTATGAGAGAATCATTAATTGTATGAAATAGGATTTGAAACGGGTTTTATATCTTTGGCAATGCGACTACATGCATATTTATCACGTGACACAGAAAGAATAGGCACGAGCAATATACAACAATAGAATTGGTGTGTCGAAAATGATGAATGTTGTAGAACGAAACACAATCTGCAGATTATGATTTGCGCATCTTCAAAAAATTGTTAAAAATAATCATCCTGTTGTCTTACAAACCGATCTATTTATTATTCCCATTCTTAAAAAATCCTATTCACAAGTCATTCGTTTCTAAAAATTCCTTCTTAGGATTTGGCAACTAATCTATGTTTCCAATTACTGTTGTAATTGGGGTTTCTAGCAAACCGTCACTTTCTCTCATTAAGTAAACATTTGTTCTTTCATCCTTCCCTTCTATAGCACGATCTACCTTGGTGCACGAAATACAAATAACTCCTCAACCATTACTCACACTTTCTACTCGCTGAAATAGATTTCATTTCTTCATAACTTTATTAATAAAGTTATTTAACCCCGCTTTTACACCTTTCTTAAGCAACCGCACGATTAGAAATCAGCCCGAATGCTCGTCGAAACATCAAATCCCAGAGACTCTTATTACTCCTCGCTGTTTGATGAATACATGGCAAGTTCTCCACGTGACCCCAATCCACAGAGTCCAACGTGGAATCATGTTACAAATTCTGTTAGGAGACGTCCGTCATTAAACCTGCATCCTCGTAATGGAAGCATAAGCAGTCTTAAGCGGCAACCCTCTTTTGATTGTCCTTCACCAGCGCCTTCCACAGTCTTTACGCCATCCAATCGGTCAAGCCAACTTGCCTCGATGTTTAATTATACCGCTTCTGGACATTTTCCACAAAGTCCAGGATACATACTTTCTTATTATAGTTCATATAACAATACTGGAAGAGATAGTATCGGTAGTAATGAAGAAAGACCCAGTGGTCTGACAGTGCCTCAACAGCTCCGAAAAGAAGGCGAAAGCCGGCCTTCATCACCATCTAGTATTTGTGAAGATCAACCACATGATGGTCATACAAGGCTGTCTTCTTCAAGTAGTTATGAGGATGTAAATAATGTATCAAAAGTGGCCCCCTCAAAACGTACCTCTTCACTAAAGGAATCAGCCAATTTAAGAAGAAACTCCGTAAAACAGCAAGATCAAGATAGGTAAAGCATTATCTCTTTATTAATGTTATGACATGAATTTACTATTCATTCAAATTTTATAATTTTATAGAGATCGATATGGTTTCAGAAGATCTTACCAATGGATAACACATAAAGAGTATTCCGAATTTGAGTCATCTTATAATGTAGTGTTACAACGTCGTAAGTTAAAATGGGAAGCTGTGTTGAATGAAAATGGTGGACAGATTCCTGGCAAAACTTCAAAAAGTAAGTTAGATTTAATCGTGTAATAATAATTTGTTTGTCTTGTCTGGGGGGATTGAAATTTTTATCTCAATAAAGTGAAAAGATATGTTCGCAAAGGTATTCCACCATCACTACGAGGAAGAGTATGTACTTGCCATCCATATTGTAAATTGTAATCATCTTTGTTCATAAATATTAAGATGTTTTTGTTGCAGGTTTGGTTTCATTATAGTGGTGCCGAAACAAAAATGAGAGATCACGCGGACCTATACCGACAGCTCTTACTAAAAGCACAAGATCCCCGACTAGAAAACGAACATCTTGAGGTGATTGAAAGAGGTAAGATTTAGTGTTCGGTACCATTTGTCTAATAAACATTAATTTACAAGTTTCGAATTTATTTAAAATTATTTAGACCTTCATCGAACGTTTCCTGAAAATATAAAATTCAAGGCTACCGTGACAACAGACGATAGCAATTCATCAACTATTTCTACTGACAATGTACCAATTATTCAATCACTTCGTCGAGTACTCACTGCCTTTTCCTTATACTCTCCAAATATTGGCTATTGTCAATCACTAAATTATATTGCTGGTATCCTCTTGCTCTTCATGGAAGAGGAAAAGGCATTTTGGACATTAGTAACTATAATTCATGATTATTTGCCTGAGAACATGTATGATGTTACCATGGAAGGTGCCAACGTTGACCAGGCTGTATTGATGATGTTTATCATGGAAAAGATGCCTAATATTTGGGGTAAACTGAGTAGTGGGTTCGGATGGGATGTAGAGAAATTGGATGGAAACATGCCAACCATCACCCTTGTAACAAGTCATTGGTTCCTGACACTTTTTATCAATATTCTACCAATTGAGGTAATTATATATATATATATTATTTGCAAAGACTTATTGCAATTAAAAGGATTAATAACTATATTGACCAAATATCTGACTTATAGACTTTGTTGAGAGTTTGGGATTGCTTCTTTTAGTAAGCTCATTTGAAATTTTTGTATTTAAATTAATCACATTGGCTTACATTATCAATATATTAACAGTGAAGGCAATAAAGTTCTCTTCCGCGTTGCCCTGGCAATATTTAAATTGAATGAAGAAAAGATTTTAGCAGTTGATGATCCCATGGAAATATTTCAGGTAGTCCAGGTAATACTAAATATTCATTATTAGTTCCATGATCTTTAATTAATAATGTTCGAATCAATAAACACTGATTTTACGCAATGTTTAGAATATGCCCAAACGGTTGGTCGATTGTCATAAACTGATCGATGTAAGAATTTCATTAGTTCTTTTTCATCTATTTTTAATTTGACCTAACAATCCTTCATTATTGTAGATCTGTTTTCGTCGTCGCAAAGGTGTATCCGACATATCTCAAAAAGAGATAGATCGGCGCCGAGAATTTTTTCGTGAACGACGAAAAAAGCGTGTGGGACTTGCGATGACTAAAAATTAGTACATGCGATCCTACATTATATATATCTTTCATTTTTTGTCACTATATGAAATCAATTTCTATTTGAAAGTGCACCGTGCATATGTTTGTATCTA